CTTGTTTGTTATGTCGTCCAAGAATATTTTATTTGGATTCATGATGTTGTTCATTATTTTGAAACAAATTGACGCTTATTTTTAATATTCTTTATTTTATTTGAAAAGTTAAATTTGTACCCATGACTATGTGATGTTGAGCTATTATATTTTTGAGATGTAATAATCATTGGCACCTTATCGTAATCTGCGTATATGCACATAACATTGAACTTGTTTAATTATGTAGAACCTTAATTGAATTGTTGGGGAAAATTGTCAATTACACCTAATGAGAATTGAATTTATTTATTTTGATGGTTATTAGTACACATTCAGAAAATGGGAGCAAATGCCAATCGTACCATTTAATATTAGGCTAACTGTTTGACATCTTGATCCTAGCAACATATTGAGCATAGTGGGTGCCTTTGCTGAATAGCTTATTGAATAGCTTGATAATGGCATAAATCTTAAACTTATTGAACATGTCAATTGGAAATGATATAGCATTTTTTTATAGTCAAGGTCGATGACTATCTAGATGAAAGCATTATTAGTGTGTACATAATAATATCAGTGCACTAGATCATTATCATCATCGTCATCATCATCTAAGCTTTATCCTAACTAATTGGGGTCAGGTATGTGAATCATGTTTTACCATTATGTTGTGTCAAGGGTTATACGCTCAATCATACTATAAGGCACTGTATGTCTCCTTAGTAGTTCCATCCATGTCCTTTTGTACTTTTCCCTTGCCATTTTAAAGCCTTCCACTTGAACCAATTCACCCTGCCTAACGAGTATTGCATTATTCCTATGTTGCACATGGCCAACCGACCGAAGTCTACTTCTCCTCATCTTATCACCTATCATAGGCTCATGATTCATAGAAAGATGTGGTAACGTTTTATACCGGATGCCCTTCCTAACTCAACCCTCCTTTATTCGGGCTTGGGACTAGCACGACCATCTTGAGACCAGCTCAGCTTGGAATTGACCGGCCCACTGGCAAACTAGTCAAGTTATTATTATTGTTTTTATTTTATTTTATTTTATAGTGGAGCATATTTGAGCTTTGGTTTAAAAAACCAATGGTGGATGATATGTTTAAGACAAGCGAAAGTAGTAGGCTTTTGTTGGCTACAAGTCCAATGAACAGAAAATTGAGTGTGGTGAGAAATCCCATTCAGGTAGCACAAGGCAATGCCGTATATAAAGTTATTTAAGCCAATAAATCTAAGTTTGGTATAAGGTATATGTGCAGTCTCATGCAAGAAATCCAAGTGTGATGCATGATAACTTTGATGGGGTATGGGTAAAATCCCATGCATGCAGCATAAAGCAATACCATATAGTGTATATGTGAAATCCTATGCAGGAAGAATGGGCAATGCCATATATGAGACCATCTAAGCTAGAAAATTCGAGTATGTGTTGACCATTTTGGTGGGGTATATGTGAAATCCGATATAACTAGCATGACGAAATCCCATATATAAGGCCATTCGAGCTAGGAAATCCAATTGGTGTATATCACTAAAATTGGTGGGGTATAATCAAAATTCCATGGGTAGCATGAGACACACTATACATGAGGCTATTAAAGCTAAGGAAATTGAATTATGGCATATGTGTTATAATGGTGTTTCCTATATTTGTGAAACCCGCTAGAGGTATGAGGCAATGCCATATATGATTGGTTGAGCTATATTGCTAAATAAGAATATCCCATGTGGAGAATATAAAGACAATACTATGTATAAAAGAAATACTAAAAGGCTTTCAGGCCAAGTGGGAGATGCTGGAAATTGTGGCATTTCAGATATTATAAGCATATGCTTATATGAGAAATATCATGCTGTTGACAAGGAAAAAAGAAAAAAAAAAGGGAGTCCCAAATAGATTTATTTATTTTATTAGGTCTATAGTGGCATATTCAATTTTAATGGGAGTTTTAATAACTAGTTGACTGCCTGTCAAAACTCCCAAACTGCCTTTTCTATGGCAAGTCAAACAATGGAGTTACACTTTGGATCTCTACTCCTATAGGACAATGGAGTTACACTTTGGGTCTCTACTCCTACAGAGACAATGGAGTAACACTTTGGGTCTCTACTCCTGTAGGCTATTAATTATTATAAGCAATTCTTTGAGATAGGGATAAGTAGAGATATTCTTCTAAAGAAATGGTGGTTAAGAAAGAAATTGAGTAATGATTCACTGTCAGTCTACTTGTCATCATGGGGTTTGACCAATAGGATTTGGATTAGCATCTCATGTCCAATGTTGTTTTGGGGACAAATCTAAGTGGCAGTAATTCTAGCAATGTGTTCTTGTTTTTTAGTGTTTATTTTGCAGGGACCAACAAGATGTTGCTTCATCCTTCAGTGCACGTACGTGACGTTAAACTCGTCACATTAAGAAGAGTAGGACCCATGGTTCATTTTAACTGAGGGTGACAATGTACGTGACGTAAAACTCGTCACATTATGAAGAGTGGGACCCATGGTTCATTTTAACTGAGGGTGACAATGGCTCAGGCAGCCTGGCCATAAAATACCAGGACCTGGGCCGTAAGTTGTGGCTCAAGAGCAAGGGCTAGACCCGTAATCTGGGCCCATAATAGGGGTGGGTTAATATTTGGCTGTGCGTGGCTCCGGCTTGGGCACGACTCCACGGTAAGAGGGGATGCATTGATTGTGAGGCTGGAAGAAATTTGTTGAAGCGAACAAATTTGGTTCTTATCTTTTTAATGGGTGTATTGATGTATTTAAAAAAGAGGCACAATCAGATTGCAACCAGGTCCTTAAAGTTTTAGCTTTCTATTGTTCCTTGTGGTAATGAAAGATGTTTGAATGTATTGCTCGATATGAGTTAGGGCTACATGCTCATCAGTGAACCAAGAATGATATGGTTTACTTTTAGAAAATGCCTCATGTTATGTGTTTTAGGTAAACAGGGCCAGAAATAGAGTCGGTCCTGCCCAAGCAATTAGGCCGAGGTAGGGAGACAAGTACTTTTAGGATTGGGCCAACGCCATGGTCCTTGAGCCCATGTAGGTCCAGGCTTGGCCTTGGCTGGTTCAGTGCCAGGCTTGGGCATGGCCATTTCAAGGCTTGCTCTACGGTTCAAGATTGGGCTAGGGCCAAACATGGCCCATTCGAAGCCTAGTCCGTTGCTATGGTTGACAATGGTCTGTCTCGCCTAGCTTGACCTAACTCTGAAAAACTAGAGCCCGGTGTGCACAATGTGGCTTGAGGGATGGGTCACCACAGCTTAAGGGCTAGGGCGGGCAGGGACTAGGCCAAGTCAGGGCCGATCTTGCTTAGTCCAACCCTTTTCTTTTTCTCTCATTTTTTTTTGCCCTTTTGAGTATATTAGGTTTGGCCTGGCCCAAACAGGACCTGGGCCAGGGACTCTTCAACCCCGTCGATCCTATTGGGAACATCGCCAAGTTAGAGCCATGGCTGGCCAAGCCCAAGCATGGCCTGTCGTCAGCCCAATCCACTGCCAATACTACTATGAAGACTCATGGCTGGTACCAATGCAACATTTAGCAGTTAAGTTTAGGCTGAGAAGAGGAAAAACATGGAAATTAATTTAAAGAGAAGTAAAAAGACGTGGACGTTCCTGAGACTCAAATAGTAGGAAACATATTATTTCATAAGATAGGCTTACAAGTGAGAGACACATCTCATGTAAAGAAAATGTGGTTTCCCAACAAACAGCTTCCATGCTTGAGTCAGCTGTTGGAAGCATGAAGTACGAGGACACAGTAATTACGTCAACCTAATTTCCTGCGTCACACAAGGTCCATGTTAGAGTGCACCTCATATGCGTATACAAATGAGACGATTTTTACACATGAAATTCTCTCTCTCTCTCTCTTGTTTATAGAAGCTCTCTCTCTTTCTCTTGTTTATAGAAGCTTGTTTATAGAAGCTAATGAGATAGTAGATGGATTAGCTAAGCAGGGTGCTTCTTTATTGGGCTTGACTATTTCGGAAAAGTCGGATTCTGTGATGCCATTTTAGTTTCCTTCTTTGTCTTTTTGATGAATAAAATAAGTAATATTATCCCAAAAACAAAAGAAATTAAGTACGAATTGACGAACTTCAGAAACGATTATTTTATTTGAATTGAATGAGTTATAATCAACGGTTAATGGAGGACAACTTCTAGTCAAGTATATCAAGAATAAATAGAGTAAAGCCTACAAACAACGAAGTTTACCCCAGCAAATGTGTCATTAGGATGACATAAATAAATAAATAAATAAATAAATAAAATTTCCTTGGAACAGCGCGGGTCATTTTGGTAGTTTGGCACTGTAATATAGGTAAGGAACATTGTTGGATAGGGCTGCAGCCCCATCAAAATAAGTAAATCTTCACTTTAAAACTCATTGATAATTATCCTTTTAGCATAAAAAAATTTCAAGTTGATCATTTTGACTTTGACCATTTTGGTTATAAAAAAAATTAAGATTTAAAGCCTTAAACATGACCTATATTATAACAAATTATCTAGACTGTTCATTTCGTCTTAAAAATAAGTGTTCACAAATATGTATGATCTGTACTATTTTTTAAACTTCAAATTTTATAGTTGGTGTTGGAAATTGATGTTAGAGCTAAATAGCGATTTTCCAATAATCATGAGTCTTCCGCTCGAAAATTCTAGGTGAGGCTTTACTTTGTTTTCTTAAAGCCTGTGCCTTATAGAATCTGCATCCTTTTAGTAATATATATGAAGAATAATAGTGGTTTCTGAAGGTCTTCGTGGGGAAATTAAGTAGAATGGTGGATTTCGTGCATATGAAGGCATCCCAAACAAAACATGCATGACTTCTACAATTTTGCCGTCCATCAATCTTGATAAACAATGGTACACCGACAAGGATTGATTACCGGTAAGCACAGCACTGCATGCATTGTGTATGTTAAGCCTTAAAACAGCATAAACAGAAGAAAAGAAGGAAAAAGGGCTTAGAAATCCAAGGAGATGAAAAAGACCTTGGCATTGAGGTGGAGTCGTGAGGTTACACTTGGCAGGGAGCTGCATGGCAAGGTCGGGGTCGATTCCGAAAGAGGGGAGGAGGAGAGAATGTCGATAGGAGCACAAACACCCGAGGTCGGCTGAAGCTAGAGCCTTGCAACACACTTTAGATGGGTTGGTGGGCGCGGGTGACGACCCACTCACAGAGGGCTGGCACGCCTTGAATCCATCTTGGCTCATCCTGCATATCTGTGCATTGGATTCAACAACCAATACCAACACCACCATCACCATACAGGCCGGAACCCTGCACGTCACCTTAGCCATGTTTGCTGTACTCTCTCTCTCTCTTATTTTTCTAGTTTTGAGGTATTAGAAGGGAATGCTTTGTTATATAAGAAGGGAAGGAGGTTTTGTGGCCCTATTTAGTAGTTTGCGTGGTCAATGAAGAGGGAATGATTTGTTATATAAGAAGGGAATGAGGTTTTGTGGCCATATTTAGGGTGCCCGTGACTTGCACACAGGGGGAAGATTTGTGTGGTTGGGACACTCTGTCACGGGTTTAACAGGAAGATGTCACAAATCAAATCGAATCGAATCGAAATGGATGACGCTTTATTACTTTTCTGTTGTTTTGCCCTTTGTCTTACTGACGCTCCTTTCTCGCGTATCTTGTATCTTGACAAAAATTGTTCTTTCCGCTATGACCATAAAAACGTGTAAACCGCTATGACTATAAAAACGTGTAAATAAGATTAGGAAAATTCTTTCATGAGTAGCAAGAGCCCGCTAATTTACAGTCGTCTTTCATAAAGATGGACGTTATCTGTATTGTCTATAAATAAGATATGGCAGGTGCATAAAAAAAATATATTAAAAAACTATATTTTAAATTTTAAAAGTTTATTTTTTTTCTTATTTATGATCATCTTGACCAGGATAATAAATCAAAAAAATTAGAAAAATAGCATCTAAAATAAATTTTTGTGTGGGCCTACATATGTACATATGAGTCATCCAACTCATAGATACCCCATCCACAAGATTATATTGACAAATAATGCAAAAAGTCTAGAATCAATGTCTTAAAACCCAGACATGGTGTTGGATGCCCCATGGATTTGTGGCCATCTAAAAACCATTAGCTCTGTTTTTTCAGTGGAAGTTTTCGGTTCAAGTTTTCATATAGTGGTTTATGACGTGTCATGATGAGCGGGCCCATGGAATAGGCTCAGTTATTAGCATTATATGTTTTGAAGCTGGCTGTCAGAGTGCACCTATGCAGTGTAGGACTCTAGCTTGGTTTTGCTGTTTAGGGCAGATGCTTGTAGTGTACCATTGATCGCAGAATGCATCTGCTAGAGTGGGTTCTTGGACACCACATTGAGTCTAGTTCTATCCAGTGGTGGTTAAAATTCAACAGGCAAGTGATGTATAAGATTATTGCATAAACAAGGGCCTTTACCTCGACACTTTCATTCTTCATGGCTTACATGGATGATGTCCATATTGACCTAGTATAGGCGAGAATTGTGGATTCGCAATTCTGTTCATATGTGCTGAAGAAAGACCCTTCACTACCAAGTGTACTTATCAAGACTAGAACGAACCACCAAGTCCAAAGCAGAAATTGGGAAAACCAATCTTGACCAGTTTTGGCCGTTTGAATCAGCTAGTTTGACAAGTTAAACAAAATTGGATATCAATTTATTGAACTATATTTAATTTAAAAACTATTATTTGTTTGAAAATATCGCTTATAAGGCTCTTTCTCTTAGGAATTTTTCATAATGGTATAAAAGTCATATTATGCAAAACGTTTTTTACTTGATCCCATTTTTGGGGTCATCACCTGCATTGGATTCGAAGAGGATTTTAATGTTTTCACTCTCATTGGACATTATCGGGGTTCTTTTAACATCATAACCCTTGTCAGACGTGTGCAGGAGATCTTTAAGGTCTTTATCCTTATAGACTACTGAGGGAGACGAGTGAGTGGAGATATGGGTAGATGTTCCCATTGGGATGATTTCTTAACTGGTTTGTAAGTTCAGATCACAACCATCATCAGACAATGTGATTAGTTCGGGGAGGAAATCCCGCAAAGTTGTCAAAGACAGAATAGGTGGGAGGAACACAGCTTCAACAGGGGGTGGTATTCTTCACTTTCGACGAGCAATTCGCATGGTCCGCTTACCTTTTCCTTTCTTATTGACAGGAACAGGCGGGCAAGGCATGCGGGGTCTAGGCGCCATGTTTGCTTGACGAATTGCCTTCCTCTTCATGGACTTCATTCTGCTTTGCCCCCTGTAAGTTTGCCAGATGCGAAGTAGAGGGCTCATCGGAGTCAGGCGACTCAGGGGGTGCACATTCACAGGAGGTCCGCTCTTGAATGACTTCTTGTATCATTGGGCCAGGTTCTTGAGCATGCACTTTGTTACTTAGGACTGACACGTCCACAACAATTCTCCGTTCTTTTATCTTCTCTTCGGTCATCGCTCAAGAGCCAAAACATTAAGAACTATCTGATGGTATTGGCACCTACGATCCTCAGTCCCTTGAACTATGTACCTGGGTTGCCGCAACGCGACGGGTGAGGGGAGATTACTCCTTCTTGGACCATCATGGAAAATATGGTGGGGAGAAGGTCGAGTGACAGCTCGTCGGAATACAATCCTTGAACTCACTCTTCTTCCCGGACTACGACCATGTGAGAGACTTCAGCGGTCCCAAACACTCTCTTGAGGCTATCCAACTATATTTGACCTTTCTGAATCAATTCCTCAATGTGGTCATTCAGAGTGAAGCAATTCTGGACTGGATGCCCCAACATTCGGTGATACACACAATACCTCTTGTTATTCACTAGTTCAACTTTGTCTAACCTTTTGGCTTTTTTCCTCAGAAAGGGCAATCATTCCTTGTTCCAACAACATTTGGAGGAGTGTTGGGACCCACTCCTTGTCGAAGCTATAGACTTTGTTCCTGTTTTCTTCCCAATAGTGCCTTCGATAGAGGCCTTGAGGTGGTGGCACCCTGTTATATGACTGTGACCTATGCTGCCCTTGCTGAGGGGTCTCCTAAGTTTTCAAAAGACCAAGTTCTGAAGAGGGGTTCGGTCAACAGCCTATTTGGCTACGGAGATAGTGATTGCTACACTAATTGCACCCCTTTGTTGTTTGCCCTGATGGTTAGTGTGATTCTCACTGGCTCCCCTACTTGAGGTTTCGGACGGGGCTCCCTTGTAGTGCTTAAACAAGCTTTCTATATGAATGCCATTGAAATCAGATCCGAAATAGTAGTGGGATTCGAAGCTTCGAGATGCAGCGAGATCTCAGGTCACATATTACAGACACAAGTCTATATTGCGTCGATCTTTGGCATAGGGTTGCTTTAGTATGTTTCAAAGTCTTTCCATCTGGAGATGAATTGATCAACGGGCTGGTCTAGACCCTGGGTCATGGTAAGCAGTTCTATGATCTGTACTTCCCTCTCAACTTCATTGAAACGCTTATAAAACAATGCTCCATCTCATCCCATGTTTGAATAGAGTTTGGAGGAAGACGAGCATACCATCTGAATGTCGATCCATCTAGGGTTCCACAAATTGATGGAGAAGGAGTCCGCTGTCTGAGGCTGTTTGATGGCATGCTGACATGAAGTGCGCAATATGCTGATGGGCCATTGAAGACTGAGAGTCGCCCTTTTTGGTAATTTGCTGAGAATGGTAACAAATCGATGAATACATGGCTTTTGATAAAGAGCTATCTCTCGCACCCAGGGATCTGTTTATTTCATAGGCTGTGCTTGACCATGACATCAATATCAGCCTATGTAATTGGGAGAGGAAGAGCTTGAGATGGCATTGGGGGAGAATCATACATCGGCGGTGGAGGGGGTTCCCAAGGGAGCTCATCTGCGAAGTGGGGTAACTGTGGTGAATTGGCTCCATGGTGGGATGAGCTTGCTAGAGGCCTAGCATTTTCCACCAAATTAAGCCTCTCCACCATTCAATTGGTGATCTCTTCAAGTTGGGATATGCGATCTTGAGGCTCATCATTGGTTTGATTAATAACCATGACCTCAACCCTCCCCTTGGGGAAGGAGGTCTCAAGCATAGCAGGGGCTTTGTACTGCTGGGTGACTCGGTCTGAGAGGCCAGTCAGAAGGGGTTGGGCATACCTCGACTGAGCTTGGGCTCTGATGGTAGACAGGGACATCATCGGTTTGCGGAGGTCTTGGGACTGTGGATTCTGATGGCTGGGGTCATTTCCATCAACTTCGATCACCATGCATTCCTCCCCCCTTCTCGAGTCTGCACACACTGCGTAGAAGGATTCTCTTTAAGGGGGTCAATAAGTTCAAGTGTTGCCGGTGCCTCGGGCTTCTCCCTTTAAATGAGCCGCATGCATGCCCTTCTTGTGCTTGATTTTCAAATTCCAGTATATCTTCTCCCAAAACTAGAATTGGGAGACTGATTGCAGGCGATTGGCTTTTCTTAGGGAAGCTAAGACTACCTCCATCAATTGAGGCAGGGAATGATCTGAGAGGGCCGGCCGGTTCTACAGCTTCTTTGGGTGGCCATGGTTTGATCAAGAGAGATGGGGGAGACTGAACTTTCTTGACCATTAGAGCTCTGTCTCGAGCTCATTTTTTTGAGGGGATTGTAGAAGGGTACTCGGTGGGAGCGTCTTCGAATACCATATAATCAGTTGTCTTGGCAAAACAGGAGGAGCGAACGGGGGATCGAGCACACACCAATGGACTTTACCCTTTGCGATAGAGGCAATCCAAGGGTCGCGTGTGTGTGTATGGCTTACAGAGGGCTTTCGAGTGACTTGGGGGGGCTTTAATAATGCCTGTCCCATGAGCCATTGTGCATGATGAAGTAGTCTTACGAGCTCATGGGATATGCAGATATGTTCAAGCGAGGTCGACGTGGGGGCCATTGCCCAAGTACTCGTGGAGGTGTGGCTTTGGTGCCACCCAGAGCTGAGTGATAGAGATGCAACATGCTTGGTGAGGCAACCTTTGGGCCGCCCGCATGTGTGAGGCTAAGTCCTAAGAGACTCAGCTTGTGATGGTGGACCGGGGGAGTCCTGGGCTGCCCCAAGATGTGGACCTGGCGGCTGAGCTGCTTGTCTTTGCAAATGGGTGAGAGGGAGTGGCTTTGAAGCCTCCCTTTTGCGCCGAACCACCAGAAGTGGTGGTTCGGAGTGACTGAGAGTGGAGGGTGGCCGCATGGCACCCCATAAAGGCAATTGCAGGCATTCTGCCGATTGTAGAAGATAGAGTGGTGTCCTTATTAAGAGTGGAGGGTGGCCGCATGGCAACCCATAAAGGCAATGGCAGGCATTCTGCCAATTGCAGAAGATAGAGTGGTGTCCTTTCGGCTTCAAGTGATTTGTCAATAGCTGGGTGAATGTCGTGAGATGTGGTTGTACTACCAC